CAGAGAAACTGAGCCATCCCACAGCCAACAGAGCCAAACCTCCACAGAGAAGACCACCAACAGCCCTCACCTCTAACGCACAAGTGAGCCTAACATACTCATACACGCGTCAGGATTTGAGTTGATTGGAGGATTGGTTGATTTGAAGTTGATTTCAGTTTAATACTCAAAATGAGTCAAAATACTTAATCACACTTGAGGTGTGCCACTCAAGCCAAATCATGCCAAGGGTGGTGCATGAAGAATGATGATACAAATTAAGAAATTAAAAATTAGGGCTGTCAATCAATTAAAATAATTAATCGTGATTTTATATATAACAAATATAAAGATGTAGTCAAGTTAGTTTTCATGTAGTCATGAATTTAGTAACCGATAATACATTCGAATGTCTTGACAAATAATGCAATTGACATCTGTTTTTCATAAAGGTTCCAGCTGAAATTGACCACAATGAAACTTCAGAAGAGAAAGATGGATTACCACAAAATATTCCAGAGGTTTGGATAACTCTTTATAATAACTTTCATTCATAATATTATTACATTATATAATGCTTCACAGATCAGCTCATGTGCCTTCAAATATATAAAAAAACATGATTCATACACAATATATATATTGATATTTGAAAGTACATGAACTATTTATCTGTTAAGCATTATATCATGTTTTAAGGACCTATTAATGAAAGTTGTTTTAAAGTGTTACCAAAGGTTGGAAACGTATTGATATTACATTCTGGAATTATATTTGTCTATAAAACATCTCCTTACATGTCTGGTATATACTATCAAAAGTTTGAAGTCGGTAAGATTTTTGATGTTTTTGAAAGAAGTCTCTTATGCTCACCAAGGCTGCATTTAATTGATGAAAATACAGTAAATACACAGAAATATTATTACAATTTAACGTAACTTTTCTAATTTATTGTATTTTGTGCTCAAGAAACATTTCTTTAAGCACACTAGTGCTGCTTAATATTTTTGTAGAAACCATGATACATTTATTTCAGGATTCAATGAATAGAAAGTTCAAATTAACAGCATTTTCTTTGAAATCTTTTGTAGCAATGTAGAAGTCTTAATTGACACTTTTTTTGTCAGTAGTGTACATGTAAAGTATTTGTTAACATTTTCTTATCTTGTCCTGGGAGTTACATCTCTCTTCACCCCTCAGTTGCTCAGCTGCTGGTATTTTTCTCACAGGGTACAGAACCTCAGTCATCACCTTCCACCAAGACAGAGCAGGTAGCTAAAACCACGTCACCACCCAAGACACCGCCTGAAAGCAAAGCTGTGGCTCAGGAGGAGAGCACTTCACTGGCCTCTGTGCTGACAGAGCTCAAAGATATCCGTATGTCACTGGATCTCCTCAAAGCACAGCACGAGTGAGTATGAACCCTTAACTACCACACCTGAATGATCATATCGCACATTTCTCTTATTGCAATATCCCTCTTTAATGACCAGGAGAGACATAAAGGAGCTTAAAGATGAACTGAAGGATGAGACGGAAAAACGAATGAGATTACAGGTAAGTGGTGAGATTTGAGTCTATTCTGTGGGGATTATTACGTGCAGATAATAAAGTCTCGCTTTATTATATGTGCAATGATATGCATCTAAAACAAACTTGTAGAGTTCACAGAAATACTATATTAAAAATGACTACACAAATCACATATTTATGGCTTTACTTATTCAAAAGACTCGAAGTAGTGTAATAGAATTAGGGCAAACTTTATTTCAATTGCTTGAGCAACAAAGAAAGAAGAGGAAAAATACAAAAAATAAAAAATATAAGTAGATTGCAGTGATTTGTTTTTTGCATCACAGTTTTTCATTCAGTTATATAGTTAAATCCTGTATTCCAAATTAAATCTAGTTGCCAGTGGCACATGAAAAAAAAAAACGTGATAACTACCGTCTTCATCCTCATGAGAGCAGCAATGAGTTAAAAATACAACTTGTTTGAACTCCAAACATCTGAATGGCATATAACAGTTGTCATAAAGGTTAGAAATAGCCAAATATCTGGCAGTGTTAAACTTAAAAAATTTACTTTTAACAATATAATTTCTTAACTGATGTAGTTATTTATTTATTTACCTCAGAATAATGTCAACCAGCTTGATTTTACACTGTAGAATTCAAATATAGTCTCACTTTAATACTAGTCTCACCTTAATGCCAAGTACAACTAATATTTTGATATTTATAGGATGAGGTGGAGGCTCTGAGGAAAAAACAGTGAACATTGAACACCAGGAGTATTTCACTACCCACCGTGATCCTTCTCTGGGACATGGACATAAAGGCTACAGAACAACGATGTTGGGGGAATGGAAATCCAGCACATGTGACTGATTGATTGATGAATTCCTGGTTGAGTGGACCAGAAGCCAGAGCTTAATTCAGAGAGCAGAACTACAAAAGACTTCTGGTTTTCTCATATACTGCTTATCAGCTCATTTGGTTGTGGGAGTCCTCGGCATTCATTTCTTAAGACATATGTGCATTTTGAAATGTGTAAATATCAGACATCCAATATCTTATATTTTCATGGAAATTCAGGGATAATGTAAGGCCATATTTTAAGGCCTTTTATTAACAGACTTTCTATAATTAATATATTTCTGTTTTGTGGTTGTATTCCGTAACAAATAAATCAATAAATAGTTCCACTTGTTTTTGCTCCAAGCCTGATTTACCCAGATGTTCTGATAAACATGTGCTGGCATCTTTTTTAATGCATAAATGCTTCGTCTGTGTTAAGATATTGAAACAAGATGGCTTTATTTTTGTGAGTGAAATATATCAATGACGTACAAAAACAGAACTGGTATCACCTTTATGAACGTAGCGTATTAAAATATGAATTTTCTTTTCATAACCCCTATAACCTGGTTGAAGAGAATCTTATGAAATGACACAAAACACAATCCGATTGGTTCCAGATCATTTGTGATGAATTATAACACAGCAAATGCTGTTTAAAAGCTCTTCGCTTGTCAAAAAACTGAATCTGAAAGTCCATTTTCCCTTTGTGAAGATGTGATGTGAGACTGGTGCGGATTTAGTTTCCCTTTAGACTGAAAACAGCATCTGGAAAGCATGTGGAACACATTAGATCCTCATAGTCTGACTAATCATTGGGAATGGACAGTATTTAATGACATACAGACTAATTCCAAATAATAGAAACATGTTTGTAGGTTGAATTACAGTGATGACAGTACCATCAATCACAACAAATTTGTGACTTTTTTTGGGGCTCATCTGTGATGTCATGATGGTTCTATACATATTAGGTGTCCTATGAGCAGTTCTGAAGTTTGAGATTGAGTTTATGAGCAGTTATCAAGATTACATAGTTTACAAGTTTAGTTAAACTGAGGAAAGTTGTTTCATTTGAAAATTCTAACATTCTGGCCCATGCAAACACTTTTTATTGGTACGCTTTGGTCTAATTGTTTGGGTTTCAGCATTTTCAATTTCAATGTAGAGCTCAATAATATTTAAATCAAACACACATCTTGCCATTATCTCTTCATATCATTCCATATTCCATGGGATTCCCAGAAGGAATTGTTTTAACTAGAAATAAAACAATACAATAACATCAGTTTGGCGAGCAAATATTTAACAAACATGACAAAAGATGCCCATAATTTTTTTTTTTTTTAATTTACATCTTTTTATGCCATAAACAGATTATTGTAAATGACTGATGGCATAGCCAAAACAACCATGAAATTTATTGTAAAATATATAAAGATCTGACTAATTTGGTATTTGTTACTGATATATTCTGATGGCTCTGTGGGTTTTATCATAGATGATTGGCAAATCAACCCTTGATTGTTTTAAACTGCATCTGCTGATTGGTATAACCATGTTACTCGGGACTCAGAGCAGGACCCATGTTGAGCAGGATGTTTTTTGGCTTTATTTAGGAATGCACAATATATATTGGAACCATATCAGTAATTAGTCGATATTAGACATTTTTTTAATTTTAAAATGTATCAATACTGGGCAATATTGGATTTTTCTGCTCATTTCAAAATCCACTTTTTTTAATTAGCATTTTACCATAATCCAACTCACAAAATGAATCTTAAAATAATATTGCAAGTAAGTGAAGTAAGTTTCATATCATACATTTTAATGTTGTGATGCCTGTTTCACACTGTAGCATTAAAAACAATTGAATTTAGCGTTTTAAAATGTATTTAGACAAATTAGTATAAATCATGAAAATAATTCTCTCATCTGCATCGAATTTTAATTCCTGTTCTGTTCATTTCTGTTCAAAAGTTTGGGATCAGCAAGATTTTTAATGTTTTTTAAAGAAGTATCATTTGCTCAGCAAGGCTGCATTTATTTGATCAAAAATAGAGGAAAAAAACAGTAATATCATGAAATATTATTACAATTTAAAACAACAGTTTTCTATTTTATTATACTTTAAAATATAATTTATTCCTGTGATGCAAAGCTGAATTTTCATCATCCATTACTCCAGTCTTCAGTGTCACATGATCCTTCAGAAATCATTCTGATTTATTATCAATGTTGTAAACATGTGCTGCTTAATATTTATTTATTTCTTTTATTGGAACTTGTGATACTTTTTTAGCATTCTTTGATAAATAAAAAGTTAAAAAGAACAGCATGTTCAAAATGGAAATCTTTTCTAACAATATGTCTTTCCTATCAGTTTAACACATCCTTACTGAATAAAAGCATTCATTTCTTTAAATTCTTAAAAAAAAAAACGAATCCCAAACTTTTGAACAGCAGTGTATATTGCCATGTAGCTTTATAATCTATGAGTTACTGCATGATTTGACAGAGGACTTAAAAATAGTACAAAAATATCAAGAAACACATCTACACACAAATGGTGCAAGAGTGCATTTGCTTTCAGTGAGCTTCTAATAATCACCTACAATATACAAATACTTTTTAAACATCAATTCAGACGGCAAAGTCTAAGATGATTTTTTTTAATAAGCACCATGACTTAGGAACTGATAGCAACTTGCCCGGTCCAAATGTTGCATACAGAACAGCTGTACCCGTGGTCTGTAGGATTACAATAACATATGAAAAAAATTGCAAACGCTGTCCATTAACAGTCTTTCAAAGTACTGCACTCAGCCAGCGAAATGTCCAGGAGTGTTAGTAGTAGTGCACTCTTCCAATAGTGCCCGTCCCTGTTCCCAGGATGTCCGGCTGTCCGTTTCTCCAGATTTCCCTGATGATCCTCTCCCTTTCCTCCAATCGCTGTGCCCGCTCCAGCTCCTCGGCTGAGGTGAACACGTTCCTGCTCAGTGTCCCGTCCGGCGTGATGAGATGGTTGCTCATGGGGATCTCTGTGGTGCTGTGCCGGATGGAGGAGTCCAGGCCTCCTGCATCTTCCTCCTCCTCATCATCGCTCTCCTCGTCTTCCTCCTCCTCCTCACTATAGTCTTTCAGCTGTTTTTTCTCCGGCGTGGGGGGCGCCGTAGTGGTCCGAGGCTTGCAGGAAATGCGGATGACCAGGAGGCAGAGAGTGAGCACCAGGCCAAAACAGACGCCGATGACAAAGTAAAGGCCAAAACTCTCTGGATTGGCTGGATAGATAGAAACAAGTCTAGTTTAGTCACTGGAACATATTCATATGAGTTTGCTGTTCTTTTAACCTGAGTTGCATGTTAAACATGGAAAAAGCACTGACCTTTAATGTGAGCATAAGCAGCAATAGTGTTGCTCAAGAAATCCATCTCTTTCCTTTTCACATTCATCCTGGCTTTGTACTGTGTTTTCTAACCTACAGGATAAAAAATTTAAAATACTTTTGATAAAGGTGATTGGTGCTTGTTTTCAGCACATGCTTAAGTGTGACTGCTAAGTGTTTTTTAGGGCATTGCTAATGTGTTCTGGGTGGTTTCTGACTGTCCTAAAAACACTGCAAAATTCATATTTTTGTAATCAGCATTTTTTATTTTATTTTATTGTTTTTATTAATTGATTAATTTATTTTGCTGTATGAAGCTAGAAAATCACAAAAAAGAGGCAATTAACAAGATGCAACATTTTGTTATAGACTAATATTTTTTTTATAGATCCTTACAGTTCTATTTTTAAGGCAAAATTTTTAGAGGTGAAATTAGCTGTATATGTTTAGATTATAAAATAACAGTACGTTTTCAAATAAAGAATACATTCAAAAATTTTAAATTAAAAAATGTAAAAATTAAATCAGCTAATTTAATTTTATTCTAATAATTTTTTATTCTAAAATTTTAAAGGTGAAATTAGCTGTAAATATTTATATTATTTATATTATAAAATTGAGTAAGTTTTCAAATAAAGAATACATTCAGAATTTAAGAAAAATGTTAAATCTAAAAATCAAAAATTCAAATAAATTAATAAATAAATGCAAGAATTTCAAAACAAGGCCAAAAGTCTTTTTTCAAAAGGGTTTTTTTTTAATTTTTTTTTTTATCAAAAACAGTTTTGTTTTTAAAGGCAACATTTTTAGAGGTGAAATTAGCTGTAAATATTTATATTGTAAAATCACGGGTACGTTTTTAAATAAAGAATAAATTCTAAATTCTAAATTTTAAAATAAAAAATATAAAAATTCAACAATGAATGAATGAATGAATGAATGAATTTCAGGCCAAACAAAAACTAGGCCAAAGGCTTCTGTGTTCCAAAAGAAAAAGTAACAGACTAGTCAAGTCATTGAGCTTTTCTTCTCAAATTCTCTGGCACTGTGAAGCACAGCATAGACTCACTATATATAACTATTCAGTAAAAACATCCTGAAGTCTACAACCCATCCCTGCGAGCTCCTGTTGTGAGGTTGAAAGGTCAGTATTGCCAAGAGCTAGTGGGGCCTATTTCCCTTACAAATCTCCACCTAATGGTGTGTAGCCAGTAGTCCGATTCTTTTGTATCTGAATAAAGGACATGATTCAATACTGTTCCCTAATGACGTCCGTTCAAATACATCTCCAGCCTTTTCCTTTCCTGCTTTGTTTGCGTCCGTAGTGTATTTCCTCTCTGACTCTTTTCCCTTCTAACTGTGAACTCCCAAGGAAGATTCATATTTCCAAAGACCAACAAATACAGCCACACCCTCGCTTGCATACAGTATGAGGGCAAGAGTTTGAGGTTATATTTATAACCCCAAACAAACATATCCTCCCTATGACAGTATGACAGTTCTGTGCCTGGTTCTCATCTCAATCCACAACGCGTTGCAGGCGCCACAGAAATCGTGGAGAACTGGGGTCATGTTCGTCTGCCGGATCTTGCCACACTTCCTGTGTCCCCCACTCCTCTTTTTTATCCCGTCCACTACAGTCACACAGAACTTCCTGCTGACTTTGGCTTTTCTCACTCACTATTGTTTTCTGTCTGTGACATCATTGCTGTACACATAATGTTTAAGTATGCAAACTCAGTGATTTAAATGGGCTTAAATGACTAAGTAATTACACATTATCACAACATTTACAATTTGGCCTTACAAAAAGGAACTTTTAAAGGCACAGTTTACCCCAAAACAGACCTATATGACTTTCTTAATTGGAACGCAAAAGATGTTAGTTTGAATGTTAACACTACGTACAATGAAAAAATATAGTAACCAGAGGCATTCAAGCACCATAAAAATGGCTCATTTGCTATATTCCAAATCTTCTGCCATCATATGATAGCTTTGTGTTTAACTGTTTTTCACTGAAAATCCTAATATCTTTTAAGTACCTCTTTTAATATTCAATAAAAGAAAAAGCCAGTTCTAAAACATCAATTAAAATGTGATCATTATGAAATTATAAACAGTTATTTACTAGAATGTAAAAAGCATACCTTCCCAAATAAAACAGAAGTAGCCTAGAAATAAATGCATTGAAATTTACCATATAATGCAATCAGTTCCTCCTCATGGTGCACCTCATGGTTTTTTTTTAGATGGATCAAGCTTCTCACTCTGGTTATGGCCTTGTGTCCTCAGAATATCTTGGGTCTTCGTCTACACAACGACAAAAGCAAATACACACAGAGAGAGAGAGATGCACACCCTTGTCAGACCACATCACATCTAAAATCACTGAGGCATCTGCAGTGCAAACAAATGTAAGGAGCCAGATTGCGCTGTGCACACAGGAAGTCAGCTTGAGATCTAACAGCCTAAAACAGATTCACATTTCATCTATGAAAATGCAATAAATCATATTCCAGATAGGAATCCACTACATGATGGAGTCGTCGTTCTCAAACTTAGCAGGAGTGAACTGAATTAGAAAATTAAATCACAGCGTGAACCGGCTGAACAGAAGCATCATGAATAAATATTTCAATATTAACCTGTGTTCATTTTTGTCAGCTTTCTTCATATGTTACACAGTACTAGCCTAAATTATTCAGTTTGTGCCAGTTATAAAGCTATGCTTCCAGACATCTGAAATATTTCATAGGCAGATGGTGTGAAAAAAATTGCAGAAGCAGGAGGTTTCTTTCAGAGTTGGTTTAGTAAAGCCCCTTTGCTTTGCAGTGCCGATTTGGATCTAGCTGACTCTTGGAAGCTCGTAACGTGTATAGAAACCACAGCCAGTGATCATTACAAATTTTGACCCACATGGCAAACCCAGGAATGACCCAGAAGAGAGACAGTATGAACATATTTCACTTGGAAGCTGGATCAAAATGCATGTTCTTGTTGGGTTCCTGTTTGAATTACTGCAGTGGCTGATCCAGAAAGTCTATAACACAGATGCACTAATAGAAATTACAATAATCTAATTACACAAAAATACACAAAACACCAGAAAATGTAGAAATATTAACTTAGTAAAGTAATAATCTCCAGAAAAATGTTCACCCTACTAGCTCTGTTTAACTCTTCACAGTGGAGTCTACTGGCAGCTGGAGACAAGTCTATCTAAACACCTATTAACCTGCCATGTTGTTTTGTTTGTGTTTTGTTTTACCCTGAGGAGGAAATTATTTGCAGGCCTCCTGCCCTCATGCGATCCTGTCACTCCAACATCAGCGGTTTTCTTTCTCTGACCTCATGTTCTGCTCCAAAGCAGATGTTGCATTTAAACTTGACAAAGCAAAGGGGAAAATACCAATCTATGTTCTGACGTCTGGGGACATTAGTAAGGCTCGGAGAACATAATTTATTCGTTTGAGCTAACTATAGGCACATGGTCAAAGTTTAAATGTTTAAATGTACAGTTAGGGGCTCTTTCTACCTGATCTGACCCTTAAAAATATATCTTGTTGGTGCAACCCCATGTGGTCAGGTTCCTAGAGTCTTACTAAATAATATTTTAACTTGGAAAAATAACTTTAATATTTTATAGTAATGTATCTATTAATATAAATTACAAGTCCAGAGACTGTCATATCTGGTGATAATTCTTGTCTTTTTCACAATAAGACGACCACAGCAGGGCTCTACGCTTACTTTTCTTAAAAAATTTAGGAGCATGTTCAAAATTTTAGGAGCACCTTCTAATCAATAATCCAAAATTTTTGTCAAATTCTTAAAAAATATATATTTTATAAGCTGTTTAAAAAATTGTAATTAAAACGACAGAATAAGAACAAGTAGAATAAGAAATATAAGTTACCAATCAAATGAAATCAGTATTAACAAAATTAATTTGTAGAGGTGGCACAGAAGAACACAAAAGTGGCTTGGTGTACTTTCAGACATTTAATGAGGCTCAGAGGTGGCACGGCTCTGCTGTGTCTTTGTTTTAAACTATTTTCGATGAAATAGAGCAAAATCAGACAATAGTGTGATAGTCAGACAAAGTCACTTAATATTAACTTCTTGTTTATTGAATTGTATTGTATTAAATCAGTATCACATTTACAAACTCCCTTAAAAATCATTAAAAGCTGGCACTCGTCTTAGTTCATCGCGATCTCACATTTATAATCAACGAAGCTCTCTACACTGCGCAATGAATCTCTTATTTACACCCTGTCTACACTTTGCTTATGAAAGGATTCGTGAGATATGTCTGTGATACATTACTCAACGCTGCAAAAACACGTAGAAACCTTTGAACCTCCCCTGAGTGCAATCACAAGTATGATGATGATCGGGTCAGTCGCACTGGTGCTCCTAAAAAAAATTTCATAGTCGCAAGCAGTAGTTTTGGTCACACTGTAGAGCCCTGCACAGTAGCATTTCCTTCCCCTAGATCAGTCTCCATCTGACAGGAAAAATTGAGACCTAGTGCAAATACCTAAACAGCACCCCCTGATTTCTTTCTCTGTTTTTCTCATTAAGTTGTCTGTCCAAATAAAGAGTGTAAGTGGATGATTTGTGTGGGACAAAGTGACAGGCCAAAGATCTCTGGAGCGATTCCTTTTTCTGTTAATTGTTAAACAGAAGCTTCAGTCTTGACCGTCGAGGGACGCATCGGTCAAAAACAACCTGACTGAACGACTCCCTTATTGTAAAGCACTAAAAAAATATCATAACAAAGCATGAACGGAATTTACTCCATGACTTTCAAGGCAATAATTGAATTCACTAATATCAAAAGAAAAACATAATCCGAGCAGCCAGCGCAGCCTTTTCGTTCATATGACACACCACCAGCCAAAACAAGCAAATGGATATTTTTGATACAAGAAATGTTCTCTGAGCCACTGGAATTTACTGCCACAGTGGTTGAACCACTTGTGGTCTTCTTGGCAAAGGGCTCGGTGACTGATACAGAACTTTAAATCTAAATATAATTGGGTTTCTTTGTCTCACTAAACTATTCCCAAACTGTGGACAGGCTGGAGGAGGTAATCTCAATATACAAACTACTCTTAATGACGACTTTATTCTGTCAGCCTCAGTAGAAAACAACTTTATCATGACTAGACTAGTGTCTGTTCTCCTAAAATGTCCTTTTAAGATGAAAAGTTCACTTCAAAAATGAAGAAAGAAAATGTTTTCCTCTTATCCCATAAACAGCTATGTTGGAAAAAGGAGTGAGGGGGGTAAAATGTGTCCCTGAAAGCACATTTGAAACTTTGAAACATTGCTTTTATCATCATTTTTGCATTTGGCGGAACGCTACTATCCTAACATCCTTTTTTCCATAAACAACCATCCAAAAGCGTTGTAAAAGTGCTGACTGTGCAATCTCTCAGCCAACACCAAGCCCCTTGGGTCTCATTTTCTCCCATCAGGCAGATTTACCTGAACACCAGCCATGTCCAGAATTGTCTCAACAAATCAAAGTTAGAAGCTCAATGTAACTTCCAAAACCTCAGAGGTGAGGGTAACTGTCCAACTAGTGAACTTGGACACATTTCTACTGGCTGTGTTGCCTGTAAAACTGCTCAGGAGGGTTGCATGGTAAAAGCATTTGCTATGTGAATTATCTTGAGCTCCTTTACAGGCCTGGACCTCACCGTGACATTTCCAAAACAGTGTAGAGTGTCTTTCTTTCTTGTTTCTCTTGACAGAGAATCGAGCAGATTAAGCCGTGTAACTCATTTGGACTGTGTTTCCTGCCAGTAGCTCTTACTGAGGGGGATATTTAATTTGGAGCCAAGTCAGACATGTGGTTGCCATCAGATTCTTGACCCCTGCACCTAACGTGGAGTTGACCCTAAAGACGCATGCCAGCCGAGAAAGACGATACTAAACGAACACCACACAACCTCCTTTCTTGAATTTCCTCAAATGCACAAATCTTCCCCCATTAAGGAATGTTATTTTTCTAACAAATATTCTAAACGGTATGCACACTTACTTAAGATGAAGACTCATATAAATAGCCTAATATTATACAACAGTGACATTTATAATGTTACAAAAGATCTATATATCAAATAAATTATGTTCTTTTGAACTTTTTATTCATCAAAGAATCCTTAAAAAAAGTATTTCCACAACAATATTAAGCAGCATAACTGTTTCAACATTGATAACAATAAGAAACTATTCTTGAGCACCAAACCAGCATATTGAATGACAGTGTTTGGGGTAATGCATTACAAGTAACGTGAGTTACGTAATCAGATTACTTTTTTTAAGTAACTTGTAAAATAACGCATTACTTTTTAATGTAGAAGGAAATATCCGAGTTACTTTTTCAAATAAGTAACACCAGTTACTTTGTTTCCCATGTCTTGACTGACAGCTCTCATGTTGCCAAGTTGAGAGAAATCGGGAACAAGTTCAGAGGCATTGTGTGTGTGCTGTTTGACCATGATACTTACTGTAAGTATAAAGACTAAATAGGAACATGTATTTATTCATCTCACCTGCACAAAAACAGATTCGGTATGAAAAATCTAAATGAATAAATGCAAACTCAGAATATTATACAAATCTGCAATAATTAAACATGTTAAATAAGACAAATTTCTTTTATGTATTTAACCCCATTTTATTAACCAATGTCTTTGCTACTGACCTTCGATGAACCAATTCAACCATGCTAAGCAAAAACGACACATTTGTGTTATTGCTGAATAGTGTTGAACTTTCTTCTCCTGTGTAAAATTCTTCATGCAGTTTGTTTGAGCTGCACCATCTACTGTACAGACGTGAATTTACATCACTTATTTTACATCACTTTTGTTACATTCGTAAAATAAGAACTTTTTATATATA